AGAAATGGTGGCTGAATTCTTAATAACAGTGAAAAATGTCATATATCTATTAGTCTTTCTCAAATCAGCTCCATGTCTTGTGTACTCTACACCTTCTTTTACTGCTTATTGTGTAAGAAATCCTGTACTGTCAACACTGTTTGCTTGTACTAACAAAGATGTTAGCAACTAAATAGAAGTCTACGAACTGCTTGTTTAAGTTTACACTTTTACTCCAGACTAAGCCTGTTTGTGTAGTAACTTTTCTAATACTGTGCAAATGAACCAGAGAGAAATTGGAACCAGAAAAAATTTACAGTTTTGTTGTTTCAGTGTATTGTATTTGGGACCAATGTACCTGCTCATGTGCTTGCATGGAAATGCTTATAAGCCATAAGAATATGTTTTGATGGTGGAAAGTCTATTTTTAATAAGTGGCTTGCATGACTGATCTGATGCTAAATAAACTAGTAAATCTATAAATGCTTACATCTATTATTTGCTGACAGCTAATATTCAGTGTGCGATAAGGGACAATAGTCATTATTATAGGGAGGTATAATGATGGGTGTTAACTGTTTATATAGCACAGTCTTGAACTAATACCCACCTGGCATAGCGTTTCCCCTTCTCCTCTTCCCTCAGAAGCTTAGCAGTTGGATAGCAAACTAAATCTGGTTTTAGTGGTAAAGTACAGAGCCAGGGGGCTGGAAAGACCTTTGTAAAGTTGTCCAGGTTATCACTGTGCCCCAGGGAGGGTTATGAGAGATAGATGCTCATCTCACTTGTTCTTAAAGACCTACAGCAATGAAGACACTGCCACTTCTTTGTGCAATCTACCAAAACATTTTGCTACTCTTACAACTGGAAATTATTTTATAAAGTTCCAGTTTTATAGACAAAACGCTTCTTTGTTTAGCATCCTCCTCTCTCAGCAGCACAAACCAAGTCCTTCCCCACAGGTCACATGCCCTAGGTCTTGAACTACTCTTCTTGTTTGTATATGGATTTTCTGCCTGCAGTTGAGTGCTCTCTGTCTTGAACTATGTAGCCAAAAGCTATGTAGCCCAAAACTGCATGTGGTACCTGGGTGGAGGCCTTGGCAAGACTGAGGTGTTGGAAGGACTATTTTTTTGTTTCTCTGCTCTGTTTCCTTATCTGTCATTTAGCACGCTCCGTGGTGCTCCCTCTGGCGCAGTTTTTCATGGCTTGCAACTGTCATGGGTCTGCAGAACAGCTGCTTGGCTAGTTGACCACTGACGTGTAATGGAGCAGCTTGTTATTCCTGCCACCCACAACTCCTTAGCTTTGCAAACTGCTAGAATGCAGAATCCCTTCACACCCCTTTGTGAGAGATGATTTTTCAAAACCCCTGAGGGGTATATAAAAAAAATTATTATAAGATCTGCAAGATGTTCTGCATGGTAACAGTGCTCCAGAAAAACTGTATAATTTGTCATTTCCATGGATGCTGCTGACTCTTTTCCCAAGCTGAGGTGAGACATAGGTTCTTACTACAGTTTCACTAAATCATCTTCTCCCTATCTCCATAACAGATTGGAGAAGGGCAGTGGCAAGTCAAAAGGAAAGAAGAGGTCATGTATTCCTGCTGGATCTTACAGCATTTGAGTTCCCCCTAGAGCTCAAAATTTTGGGGCTTTGGACTGACCTGTTAAAAATATCATATCAAACAGTGGTGTGGAAGCTTGTGTTACAACATAAGATTTCACTGGTTTTATAGCAAGCTTGAGACAAACAATGGGACATAAGAATGTACTGACAAGTCTGTAACCTGACAGAACTACTCAGAGGGACTGTCCATAAATTAGGGTTGATGGGGAGTTAAATAAAGCCATCCTGCCTCATAACTAACAAAAATCTGCATTTTTGCTGATTGCCGATGCAGTCTACTTCTTTATAAAGCCCTGGGTTTTTAAGTTCTGATGTCCTTCTGACTAGTTAAAACACCTTTTTCCTTCAACATGTACATGTGCAAGTACTTTTTGTCTAAAATATCCAAGGATGCAGATGGTTTGGAAAATGATTCAATATTTTTACATGCATTGTGAGTTCTCTATACTTTTATTTGACATTTAAGAAAAATGTTTTGTCTAAAAGTCCTCTTCCTTGCTTCTTTCATTTTCATTATCATACTTCCATTTCTTCAGGCAAGAGGCATGTAGTGGGTAAAACATGTGATGGGCATCAGGTTTCCTTGATCTCTCTTCCACAAATGCTCAGTTACTATGGTATGGGCTAGAAGGCACACAGGCAGAACAGAAAGATGTTTCGCCCATGTAGAGCACACACAAAACTTGATTCTCTGCCTTGCCTACTGTTGTGCAGGAGGAAGTGCTGGTTCCTTATGAGTCTAGTGAAAAGGCAATCAACCTCTGTAAAGTATCATTTAAAGTGCTATTTATTAGAGCTAACACAATAAAGGAAGAGAGGATAGTATGGAAAATTTTGCATCCCTTCAAATGCTGGGAACTTTGAATTGTGAGGCATCCAACAGGCCTCTGGCACTGGATGCTGTGCAGATCCTGGCCATTGAAGGGTTACCCCCTTTTTTGTTATTCAAGCTATTACGGGATTTTCTTAAACAGTTAATCATTTTGTTCATCATCCACTTACCATTTCTACTATCAAGCAGGAAGGATGTCCACACAAGAACTGCTTGCTGTACTGTCAGGTACAAGGAAGGCCAGGCAGGGGATGTAATTGCCAGGACAACTGCCTGCAGGCTCCTCTGCTGTCACTAGCTGGGCAAACTTATCTTTCAGCCAGGGAACATGCACAGCGCAGCATGGACCTGGCCCAGCTCAGGTTATCTGCTGTGTGGGTCACTAACTCCTCAATGTACCACAGTCTTCTGGTGAAGATTACTACACCTGCTGGTCTTGGGAAACTTTCGGCATCTCAACTATAATGGGCTGTGCTTCTCTACAGACATTCATTATTTGAATTGTATCTTTTAAATTAGCCTGATTGGTTGAGACATGGAGACCACAAAATTGAGCAGAGATGGTTGAGCACATAAGGGCTCCATGTTTAATCCAGTATGCATAAGAGATGTTGATTTGTAGGGACATTCCTCATGCTTTAGTGAACAGGCATGCTGAGATTTCTTTCCTTCTTCCTCCGAACTGTGAGGAGCTCAAAATCCTGTTAGGCATACAGACGAGGAGGGGTTGTATGGTACCCAAATAACAAAGTATGTTTGCAACTGCTCAGATACACCCCCTTGAGCATTGCCCTGCATCCTCAGTGAGCCTTGGAGCTTGAATTAGAAACACCAACATCCTAGCTCTAATGCCATCTGATTGGATCCCAAATTAGAGGCAGCACCCAGACTGACACCCTGAGAAACGGAATCTTGCTTAGGATAGTAATTTGCTCTCCAGGTTCATAGCCTGCCTCAGAGCTACGTCTGTGCTGGCAGGCGGGTCAGCTGGTCCAGATACAGAGCTCAGGAGATGCTTTTGATCAGGCAACCCAGAGCACAGCCAGACTGCTCCACAGAAGGCCTGAGCAAGGTCAGTTTCTGATTACACTTTGGACAGCAACTGATCTTCTAACAGTTCCATCTATGCTGCCTGTATCAAAGAAATGTTTTCAAGGATCATTAGGTAGTCATACTGACTTGACTCACTGGAAGAAATTTTAAAGAAAATCTCTTTCAAAGAGACAGTTCTGGATAATGTGTTGGGATTCGCTGCATGCTAACCCAGATGTGACATCTCTTATTATGTGGGTCAGCTGTGAAACGCGCACAGGTATCTGCTGTCACGTGTTGTTATCACTGTGCCTGTTTTCTCACTGCTAGTGGAACAATCCCAAGGAAGGCTAACCCTGCAATAATCAGTCCCTACCTGTACTGTAAGACCTAGTCACCACCAGAGCTCCGTGAGTACTGGAAAAGGCAGAATGTATGACAGTTTAAATTGTGATCTAGGACTTCAGGATATATTCTCTCCTAAAGAGCACTTAAATTTTAGCATAGATTTATTATTATCTCTCCCATCTTCATATTCTTTTTCACTAGGAAATGGGTTTAAACGTATTTTTTTTAAGAATTCTAATTAATGTCCTTAAGCATTTTCCAAAGATCTGAGGTGGCCTCTGTATCCTATTCCTACCCCACTTTGCAGAGGATGACACGATATGCCCTATAAGAGCGTGCTGTATCTCAGAGGTCACATTTCCTTTTCTCAGTGAGAGAACAGGGCTGCAACTCTGCTCTGAAGTCAAATGCAGCAGAACTCTCCTGCCTTAATGCATGCTCTAGAAAAGATACATGTATTTTCTTCCTTTGTTTCTGTAGGAGCTAGTTAAATACATGTCAAAACACATGTTGCAGCATGCTTTATAACACTAATGTACATCTATATACCCTTTTCAAGGTGCTACATGCTCACGTGTTTTGGATTAACTTAATCTTTATTGTTAATTAATAAACTATTTCTTAAACATGCTAAAAGGTAGGTAACACTAAGACAAAATAAAGTTCTTCCACTGCAATAATGGGGTCATGACAAAAAAAATATCAATTTTTAGAATTTAAGATTTGATAAAATCCTGTTTGTACAGTTTGCAAGAGATTTCTGTTTAGCAGAAATCTGAGCGGTGCATCTTCCTTGATCTAAATCAAGTTTCTAAGTAAAGACAGGCTTTTTGGCTTTCAAATTTAAGGAGACGAATTGATAGCATTAGAGATCACCATGCAGCTGAAGATGGACTACACGATCAGACATAACCCCCCAAAAAGTAACTGAATGCTACATCTGCCTGCACAATTATTGAAAAAGCTACATTATGAGTCTGTTGGAATCCATGTTTTAATTTATTCTGCAATTGCACTGAAAACATAAATACAATCTCTTAAGCGCGGACCATTGTCAGGTAAAACCACTGTTAAGATAGACTGACTTTGACTTCCTGAACACAGGCACAACTTGACTCGTTTCACTAGAACTATGGCTGTATTTATAGCAGTGAATCTCCTAGGTCAAATCACCAGCTCACACCATCAGAACAGTTCTGTTTATTTTTGATTACTGGAGGAATTACATACCCTTTTAATGTTTCATAAATTCATCATGTTTCACATGTATAAATTCATCAAATCTGAGATCAGGGCTTGTATCATTCCCTGAGTATCCGTCTAGTTCACCACCTAGTAGGCTGCTAGGGTTCCCTGGACTGCCCCCAAATTAAACTTAGCCCAGTCTCTATCTTACACATATGTAAAATAAGGTGCACAACTACAAGGTTTAATGATGGAGGTTTTAGATGAGGAACAGAAGCCAAACACAAAAATTGCCTTATCTTTAGCCATCTTTCCCATCCACACACAGAGCACCTAGTTAAAGTGCCAAAGACTAGACTGTCATATTGCCTAGGCCCCGGAAAAAGTAAGGGTGTTTTTTTTTTAAAAAAATACTGGTAATATAAAAATAATTTTGATGTGTCTATATACATGCCATTTCTCTAGCAAAAACTGGCATCTGCTATTCTTGGGCACCTTGTTGAGAAGTTGCTTTCAGATAACTATATTCCAGTTTAACTGAACAACACTTAAGTACTGGCAAATCTCACAACCTTGCAGAAATTCTGCCACTGTGAGAATGAGAGAAATCTCTACTGGGTAATTTACTTTGTGTCCCACTACCTCCTAATAAGCAAAACATGGGCTCCTGCACTTTATCCTTTCAACCACTTTCTAGTTTTTACTGTCTTGGGTCCATCTGGATTGTCCACTAACTCATAAGGAAAACAATGCCACAGTGGGAAAAGTGGTTCTGACTGGATAAGTACTTGATTTTGTGGCCTTCTTGCTTCTGAATGTACTCTGGTTAAAGAACAGCTCTGCTTCAAGATCTAACAGTCCTCTCAATCCTCAGCTATATAAAAAGAAAGTTTTGGTTTCAAACACATACAACACACTGTGAAACTGGACATCTTCTGGTTCTGTATGACTTTATAGCTGAACTGCTTGCAATGACGACTGTAGTGGTAGCAACTATGCATTGCTTCAGCAGCATAATCAGCATACATTTTCAATTATTGCACTTCTAAATCAGAAAAATCTTTAGAAATGTGAGATTCCCCAAAATAAATCTTTAAAATTTGTTAGCACTTTCCATGATATCTCTTCATTTGAAAACTGGAGAACTGTACTATGCTCTTGTATTGATTTAAAAATAACCTGCCTCCATTCTTCATCTCTGGTAGTCTCTACTGTTATTCACTTGAATGTTCAGAATCATTGGCAGAAGTAATAGACTACTATGTCTGTTAAAACACACAAAGACAGTTTAATCAGTGTTTAAGGAATAAATTACTGTAATGCAAAACAGAGGGCCTACTTTGCTTTCAGAAACTTTATACTCATTCACAAAATTTTTCCATTTCTAGGCCTGTTACTGGAAACAATTCTGTTGATAAAAATGAAACTTGGAGAAATTTTTATTAAAAACATCATCATACTTGAAATACACTAGCAATTTTCCTTCCCTTAAACACAAGTTCATCTTTCTTCAGCTGCTTCATCAGCCTATCTGCACTGAAAGCATAAAAAGCTATTTCACTGAACACTAAATAAGGATAGATAATCTAGAGGTGTTAGAGTCCCTGTATAAGGTGTTTGAAACAAGCACCTCTTCATCTTTTCTGCAGTGCCTAGTGGTGTACAAATATCCTGTAAGTGTCTTGTGCTCCTTTTGACCCATTTCTTCAGCAATGAAGTGCCTCTGTATAGATTTAAACTGGGCTTTTTACAGAGCAATGCAACATTTTACATACATCTGTATCACAACCTCAATTAGTCAGTCCCAGCAGTTTTAAAAACAGAAGGCATGAATATGCAGATTCACTATACATGCAGTCTTTATAACTGGGAGAATAATTAGGGTAAAATTCACATAGCTTCCTCTGTAACCATGTCAGCATTCATCCCACAGAGCAGTATTACCAGAGCTTTCATACTTGCCTCTGTACCAGTACAAGAAAGGAGTGGACCTCAACACCTAGGACTAAGTGTGTCTGCTGACACCAATTCCTTAGTGTCCTTGGTGGAGAAAGATCACCTCGTGAACTTTCAGTACTGCGGGGGGAAACAAAGAAGACAGAAAAGATGGGAAAAGTAGCCAAGGAGTTTAAAGGAAACTGCAGAATACACAAAACCCAACAGGGAGCTGTTATCTTCTGCCTCCGAAGACACCAAAGGCTGTTTGATGCCATTGTTTTTAAGTATCTTAAACAGTACTAAATGCCTTAATACATGAAGCATGTTGGAAAAGCTCTCACTATATTTGGTGTGATGTTTTTGCTACCTCTTTGCTTGATCAATGAGGAAGAAAAGTCCTCTCTGTTCAAAGTTCAGCTACAGTGGCCAGTGTCAAAAGCAATATTGCACGGGAAAAATTTTAATCTCAAATTATTTTTTTTTTTCTGAGAATTCATTACCAGCCCCTGTATTGTATGTATACAACTGCCCCCAAAACATTAGGGCTGCAAGGTACTTTCCTCAACTACTATGCAGCTAAACTTGCCTCTGCTAGCACTGGTAAAGCATAGATAATTACAATCTCACCTGAACAAATGATGCATACAAACATTAAAAACTCACATCAGGTTTTAAAGAGAACTGAGGTTCCTAGCAGCACAGACAGTAATCTTTTGAAAGTCCCTGCTATGCACCTGTCAGCATCACTGGGTGGCTAAATAGCCCTCCATCCTCCAGCAGACCTAAGTAATTCTGCAGCTTGAGCTTTGGTCTTCATTTGCTCATGTTTTAAGATGCTAGTTTCATTTACTTCAAAGATCAATCTAGGCCACTAGATTTTACCACTAAACACTCCAGTGCACTGTACCAGCATGCTGCCAATCTGTGGTCTTGTGGCTGTACCAATGCCTATACCTGAAGCAAGTTAGTGGTCCTTTCTATTGCTTGAATAATTACAGGATTTTCAGTTATGGAAGACCAAAAAAAAAAAACCCACACACAATTACATGTAAATTTAAGTAAAAAATTCTTTAGAAGTGCAGAGTATCACAGAAGATCCATTAGAGGTTTGTTATTTTGACAACTGTGTGATTAAAAGCCCACTAAAAGCTATGGAAAGCCACCTGATCACTTAAATGAGCTTTGGACCAGCTGTAAGGACATTTCTTTATCTATGCACTGAGACTGTTATTTACAACAGTTAATTAAATTACAGTTACAACACTGAAGAAATGCCAATAATGAATACTTGTTTTTGCTAACAAGAGCAAACAGCTTTCTTATGGATAGTATAATTTAGCTATGTAATATCCCTATGATAAATCAAAGCAGATTTTTAAAAACAAATTACAGAGGCACCTGTACAGACTAAATAAATCAAAAATTTTAAGTAAATATAAAAATATATATATATTACAAAATTACATCTTCAATGAGATGCTGCCTGCACAGCGACTCACATCAGCAAAATCCTGAGCACTCCACTCCCCATACTGTTTGTGAGAGCCGAGTTCATGCTGCATTTTTCAAGCCCAGATACACATCTTGTGTTTTCTAACTAGGAAGCCAGTGGTTTTTAGATTCAGACTACTCCTCACACAGCTGCAGAGTGCTGAGCAGGAAACAGAATCTTGCACTGTGAATTAGGAATGTATGCTAAGTATCACACCAAAAAGTACTTGGTAAAGTTGTTTGGATCCCTCAACATAAAGGTTCAAGGTATCATTCAGGAACAATGTTACCTCTTAACTCAGTAGCTAACCTATGCTAAGCTAAACAATATAATTTGATTGCAAGAAATACATGGGCTTTGAAGTCACTATTTGTCTGTTTTCAGTGCCTTTTTGAGGTCAGAGTAGAAATTGGCCAGGGTACTAGACATGGCAGTGTCTACTGCTGATTGTGGTAGCATCCCTCGCAGTTCAGTCTGAATATAGCCTGTCAAAAGACTGTGGCTAGGATAGTCCTTAAGAGGGACACAGAACCAACCACAAGGGTGATTGAATCCACGGACAAAGTTAGGTCTCACTTCTCCATAGTCTAGGCTTATACCTATCAAGGAAAACACAAAAAAAAGGGAAAATTAATTTGAGATGGATAAAAAAATAAAGGTACAGTACATTTAAAAGGTACCAGGTTCTGCTTGGGGAATTCAGTAGAAGTGACTGACACACTTCAAGTTTCTGGGTACTTTCACGCATGAAAGTTGTCTGCTCTTCATCCAAACTCAACAACAGACAAGTGGAACTTGATAAGCAGAAATTCTGATGTTAAAGACATTCCTCCCATTTACTAGCAAGTTGAAGAAGTTGTTACTCCATCCATTTTGCTGTAAGAGCTGAGAGAGAGCACTCAACTTGTCTCTGTCACTCCAATACCATGGCATAAGTGAAATCTGGCACTCAGTGATGGCTCATGGGTGAACCAGTAACTTGTGCCTTCTTTCAATCTGTGAAATGTTAAAATACCTTTGAAATACTTCTTGGATACCATATTACACCCTTTTTGAATGCTTACTATAGAACTAAACTTAATTTGAATCAAATTTTAGGCCAAGCAGCTGTTGCAAAATAAGAATTAAGCAAAGGTCAGTGATGCCTTACCACATGTTAGAAGCCCATCTTCATAGTTTGTAGTGTAAGAGAAATCAACAAACTCCCTTGGTGCTACGATGTTCCAGAGCTGGCCAGCAGTGGTGTAGCGCATCACACAGCAGTTCTTGTTGAGTGACAGAATAAGGAGGGCAAGAGAAAAAAAAAAAAATCTTAGTATAATGAATACAGGGAAAATTATGCCTGTAGGCAGCTAGCTTTTCCACAAAGGCTGCAGCCTCTGTCAACTACACTGTGCAAACAACTTCAGTGATGTGTGAATGGCTGTGCCGTTCTCAGTCTAAATGCTGGAAGTTTGTAAGGACTTGCAGTCTGCAACTGCGAGCTGCACAGGCAGAGAGTATTCGGCATCTTTCAACCACACTGACTAAAACTAGAGAACTCCATGACACCTGGGAACTGAAAGCCATGTGGCTTTTATATGGCTTAATAATTGCTTAACAAGCCTGAAAAGTCCATGAATAAATCTCAAGAGGCCTCTCTCAGTACTAAGATGCTCTGTCAAGTACTTTTAAACCATCAATTGAATAATAAAACATAATGCAAACAATTCTTCAAAGACTTTCTTATAAGACAATAGTTTGTATAAATTTTAGGGATTAGCAAAAATATCTCGCCATATAAATCTTCCTTAAGAGCCAGAACAAAAGACAATCCATGTCCAAGCCAGATGTCCACAGGCCTTTGAAGTCACACTGAATGTCCCCACTAACCAAAGGAAGGCTAACAGCACTTCTGTAATCAACTTCAAACCTACCTTTCTTTAGCAAGTCCTGCCCCTCAGCATGAACTGCTTTGGCTCTCAGCACAAAACCCTGCCACACAGTGAAGTCAGCCTTTCAGGAAAAGGAGAGGTTGCAGCTTCTGTACGTGTGAATTATTAATACCCACAATTTTGTTTGTTGTGGCATGGAAGAAAGCAAGTTATATGGAAAGGCTTTGGCATATAAAATATCATGCTCTGAGTCTCCATATGTGAATTTCATCAGAGGCTACCAGAGCTCCCAGGCCCAAGAGAACTGTGACTGACCAAGTTTTACTCCTTTACTTTTAGCATTGATGGAAAGCTGAACTTCAAGCTTCAGAATAGAACAGTGCAGCCAGAAAGCCTCATCCGAGGTCACTCACCACATATATGCAGAATATCCTACATGCATGCATAAAACTGGCAGAAAAATATTAGAATTTGGTGGGATAATGGCTCTGCTATACTGTTAAATTCATGTATGCATCTGTATACATTTCCCTTAAGAATCGAAATGAGTCTTCACCTCTTCAAACGTTTCCATTATGTCCATTGTAGTCATTAAGCTGTCCCAGTCTAGCCTATAGGGTCCAGGGCGAATATGATCCACTATTCTGTTAGTAACATCTTCCACCACTCCTTCAGCTTTGTAGCTAGAGAAACATATGTTGACATTTAAAAGTGAGAAATCCTTTATAAATATTCCATTAATTAGCAACAGCACACTTAGTATAACACCTTCGTACCTAGAGTTATGGTCAGTGGACAAATGTATCAGAAAAACAGTACAGAAAAAGACCTATAGGTGCATCTGTTCTTCTTTGCAATAAATGTTATTGTAAGTAACCTTCTCCTTATGCTGCAATCAATACTTTGTAAATGCCGAACTCCTTCATCAAATACAAATCATAATTTTATTTCTCTAATAACTTGCTATTTTGTTCGTGATGGGTGAGCAAGGGAGTCCACCAGGGACATGTAAAGCTAAAAGCAAAAAGAAAGGAGAGCAGGAATACAATGGGAAAAACAATTTTCATAAAGTAAAAGTAACACTAGTAGAACCAAGCTAGTGAGAAACCACGTTATGCTTTGGTGGCATGTAAGAGTACCAAATAAAATAATTTGGTACAGGACATTAAAGAACATTCATTTGTTATCAGATATTTTTAGCAGACACCAGATCTTGTTTACTTGAGTTATTGGGACTCCAGCTCCCGAAGGGGAAGAATCCATCAGGACAATTATTTTGAAAATACTTCTCATTCATTAAGCTGTTCTTATTAATAGCAGGTTAACTAGTCAAGCAACAGATTCATCTATTCACTTGTGCAGTTCACCCATATTCATTCATAATTACCTGGTTAGAGCCAATCTTAGCTGTATACTCAGAACTGGAGGACCTCACGAACATGCCAGTGGCCCCTAGGTAGGTGTTTGGGATGTTCTTCAAAGTGTCTTTTATTCCACCAGGTGCATACATAACCATGGAGTCTTCATCTACACATAGCAGCCACTGCCTTCTTGGCAGTGGTTCAAGTTACACAACCTGTTGATGCCAGTGTGCCTGATGTCCTGCACAGTCGGCAGACTCTTGGTCTCTGGGGTCATCAGCTCTTGCAGATATAAAAGGGCTTAAATTCCATGGACCATATCATTCTTTGAGAGACTTTCAAACACAACTTTCTGTCTCCTCAGAGTCCTGTTTTCTAGTAACTATTTCTCTACCTAAACCTACAGATACCAACAGAACCCAGTGACAGAAACCCACACAGGAAGGGCTTTTATGTCACACATCTTTCCCACAACTAGACACTTGATATTTTACTCTACTGCAGTTACATTATCACTGTAACAGTCCCAGTACTGACTGGGTTTTCACCCAATAACACTTTGGACCTACTGAACCTGGACTTGATTCTGTGGTTTGCAGAACATCTTTCTAAAAGGTCTGGGCCTAAAAGGTTCGGCGCTGGGAGGATTGCAGCATGTGGAGGTGTCCCACGCCGGAGCAGCTTGGGAAGGGCTGCAGCCGTGGGAGGGAATCCAGATGGAGAAAGTTGGTGTCACACACCGCAGCAGTGTAAGGAAATGCTGCAGCCCATGGGAGGCACTCACATTGGAGAAAGTTTGTGGAAGACTGTCTCCTGTGAGAGGGGGACCATGATGGAGGAGGGGGAACAAGTTCCAGAAGCTCCCCCCACTCCCCAAAGATGGAAGAAGAGGCAGCACTGACTGCACCCCCCCATCCCCTGCCCCTGCACTGCTGGGGGAGGAGTTAGAGATATTGGGAGCAGAACTGAGCCCGGGAAGAAGGGAGGGGTGGGAGGAAGGTGTTCTCAAGATGTGGCAATGCTTCTCACTGTCCTACTCTGTTAAGTGTTGTTAGTGTCTGTAATAAATGTATGTTCTTTTTCTTCCTAGCCTAAGGAGTCTGCCTTTTGCTCATGACCATAAAGGGTGATTTTTTCCCCATCCCAGTCCTATGTCAAACCCCAAGCCTGGCTCTCTGTCCCTTCTCACTGCTGGAAGAGAAGGGGGAGAGAGTGGCCGTGTGGTGTTTGGCTGCCAACTAGGCTCAAACCATGACAGCCTATGTTGTTTCCCACTTCAGCCAATGGGAGTTTTGTAGTGTGTTCCACAGTTTTAATTGTTTGTCATTCTAGACATCAATAACACATCAAAGTATAACAGTAAAAAGAAATGGTACAGGCACACTGGATGACCCACTTAGCTTTTCCTCTGGAGAATCTGTGTAGCTGAAGGCTGTAGAATCCACAAACTTAATTTCTAAATTCTATAAAACACATCTGTGGAACCTTAAAAAAGTATCTGCTCTGCAGGCAAACTTACAGGTATCCACTGAATTCCTCTGATGGTTTACGCCACACAGTTGCATCTTTCTGAAAGAAAATTGAAGATATGATGGTAATTGTCACTTACACACAGTTCTAAGACATCCAGAAAATGTATCAATTTTTCTGAAGAAAAGCAAACGACTTTACCATTAAGTAAATTTGGTTCACCCAAAAGTGCTCAGTGCACTTTTGTATAATTTTCTTAAGAACAAAAGCAGATGTTTCAGACATCTTTTGCTCTTAATCTTTTATTATTTCAAAAAATCAGTCAATTGCCTTTCTCAGTGTCAAATGCTAGAAGTGTACACAGAAATAGGGCTTGGCAGATCTATTGGGAAGGAGGGAGGGAAGATACTTCCCTGAAAATGGCTAGAAAGAATGACAGAGTATGTCTGTAGACAGGAAGAACATATTCTGTCAGCTGAAGATCTACAAGATGAGAAGTTGTGGATGCCCCCTCCCTGGAAGTGTTCAAAGCCAGGTTGGATGAGGCTTGGATGAGGAAGGTGTCCCTGCCCATGGTGGGGTGCGGGAGAGGTTGGAACTAGATGATCTTTAAGGTCCTGTCCAAACCCAATAATTCTATGATTCTGTAATCCTAGAAGGGTGATTTCACAGGGCCTCTCACGTGAAAGTCCTGCAAGAATTTGCTAAATGCTTCATACCTGTGTTATACAGCTTAATGAGCTCTCTCCCCCCAACAAGTGACCAACAGCTTCCCTGAGAGAACACATCAGGCCGCACGTGCAAAGCCGCCCAGACCACTCACCGTTTTCTTTGCAACCCTCCACTCGCTGTCTCCGATGCTGTGGTACTGAACCAGAGTGTTTCGCAGTTTGGTAGCCAGGGGTGCTGAATTTGGCAGGAGAGCCATTTGCTTCCCTTCTGCGTAAAGTACACGGGCACACGCATCAGAACAAGATGTGTCGGGGACGCCAACAACAGCGCGACCCATTTAAATCCACGCGCTTCGAACAGGAAGAGCAGCTACCAACACCCCCCCCACACACATACCCACACCCACCCATCTCCCCACCTCGTCTGCGTGACACCGGGCGGCTGTCAGGACCCACCGGCGCGGCGAGGGGAAAGGCGGGGGCGCAGGCCGCCCGCCACCGCGCCACCGGCCGCCCTCAGGGCGCCAGGCCCCGACCGGAGCTCCGCGGCCGTTAGGAGCGCAAGCGCGAGCCCCCGCCGCCGCCGCCGCTCCCGGCCCCGGCCCCGGCCACCCGCGCTCACCCCCTCACCTGCGACCACGGCCCCTCCGCTTGGCCAGCCGGCCAGCCCCGCCGCCCGCCGGCCGACGCCGGCAGCCAATGAGAGCGCAGCCGGCTTTTCGGCGCAGCCAATGGCGGCGCGACCCGCCCAGGGCGGGGGGGAGGGGACTCGCCGCATTCTCGTATCACGCGACTTCTCGACATGTCACCGGCGTGCTGTCACCAGCCGGAGGAAGGAGGGCGCCTTCCCATTCGCTGCTGCAGAGGACCGCGGCTTCCTGATTGGGTGGAGGGAGTGGAGTGATGGGGGGGGGGAAGGCGGGGCTAAGCTCCCCAGGGCAGCCGCCGCGAGCTCGACCGCTGCCCGAGAAGGTGCTGGCGGGGCGCGGCGGCCGCCGCCCCGCCCCGCCACGCCACGCCACGCCACGCTACATCACGTCACGCCACGCCTCACTTCGCCGGGGCGGAGGGACGAGATGTGGTGGGGCTCAGCTGCTGTCTTGGAGGCACCGGGCTGGCCCCAGCCGTCTGTGGTGACAGCATGGGCTCTTACTGTCACTTTCTAAAGGCTTTTTTACTGTGACTCTAAAGATTTAGGCAAAGGTTACAGCTTTGGGGTTGAAGCGTCCTGTGGGTTCCCTGTTCAGCTGAGGCCTGTCCTTCAAGCACAGACGTGGGCAGCAGTGGTGAAGGGTGTCTTCCCTGGTTCAGCACTCCCAGGTTGCTGTTAGCTATGGCTTTTGTCACAGCAGCGGAAAAAAAAAGCCAAAATGTTTGTTCAGCCATGAAGGGCTTAAGATGGTGCAGAGCACAGCAAGTGGCACATTGCGGTGAGAAAGCCTGACGTACTCTTGTCTTTCAGTCAGCAGTGCTTGCAATGTGATTGAGCATCCTTTTGAGGAAGTACTGAAGCATTGCTTTGCTCTGTCAAGCAGCAAGCGGACCAGATTCTTCTTAGCAATAAGACAGACCTTGTGGTCAGCCCACAGCCGAGGGAAACGTCACAGTATGAGTAACTGCTTGTTTCCTGCAGAATTCCGCTGCTCGCTGGGCTTCACCGGACTCAGTCCAACAGAATCACATTGGGCAACATCCATGCAAAAAGACTAAACCCTTGGCGTGTCAGAGAAAGAAGTGGGGCAAGAAGCAAGTCGTTAGAAGGAGGTGGGGGAGCAACTGACTTTATTTCTGTGGTGATATGTTGTTAATTTTGGCCAATGCTTTACAGCAGGCTTTTTGAACTGCCTCTAGCTCCTCTTGCAGTTTACAGCTCTTAGTCATTTCTCCTTAGATGAAATAGATCTCTAAACAAAGATCATGCTTGTAAGGACGTACTAAACAAAAAGTGAAGTTGTCTTACATGCAATCCCTGAAATTTTACAGTACAGAATCCAAAGAGGATTTTGAGCTGAAAGCGTAGCAACATTATAGGAACATATTTCACCTGTCTTCCTTCAGACTCCTGTCTCTTATCTTCCTGTGAGTGAAAAAAGTGTACATCTGACTGGCCCCTGGCTGCTTTACCCATTTTTCCCTGCCCTGTTGCTTCTTGAAGTCCAGTGTTTTCTTGCCTTTGAGTATGACTTTGCTTCCCCATGGGCTGTTACCTAGTTTAAACCACCAGTGTAAGCTTGATCATTTTTATAGAGGGAAGCTTATTTTTCTTGAAGGAGGGAATGACAAGTGTTTATTGGAAAATGATGATTTTTTTAATCAAAACCTTATTTGTAGAAATGTGTCATGTTTCCATGGGCTGGATGGATTTTAATGGAAGGCTGCCCAGTCTTTTTAAAGCTGCTCTGGCAGCTCATACAGCAAGTTTCTTAAGCTTAGGAGATCTGCAAGTCTTATATAAAAACCCTGGGTACTGTACACTTTGATATTCAGTGTTAATTTTATGATTTGAGCCAAGTGGGTGCTTTCAGGGCTTATAAACTAGTTCTTCACCAGTGAGACACATACTTCCGTATCTTCTAGGCTTCCCAGTTGTGCAGCGCAAAGTATTGGTGAAGCACCAGAGATAACTGATGTGCAGGTCATGCTGTATACATTTGCGGTCCTATGTTCCTTCACTAGCTACAGCAGTACTTACAGTTCTACCAGCTCAAAGTTGTGCCTATGTGAGGAAAGTGCTATGAGGAGTCAAATGTTAAATGTTGCTAACCATGCCATAGCTGAGCCTTTGCTGCTCCTTACTTCTGAGCTCTGCGTCACATCTCTGCAGTAGTAACTCCTGAACCACTCCCAAATGACACCAGAGCTGTGTTGCCCCTGAGGTAAGCAATATTGCTGTCGAAGAACATCTGTACCTCTTGTCATACAACACCTTGCACAGGGGAATTTTGATTAACATGATGGGTGGGATCCACAAACACTGTCAAAAGACCAAAATACCCTCCAGCCCCCAAGTTGAAAGTTAACTTGATAAAATAAAATTTACTCTGAAAACTGCTGCATTCACCTACATGAAGATAAACTTGTCTTAGAATGCCTGATATTTCATCCTAGAAATACTATTGTATGGAGAAGTGTGAGACTAACTACTGGCATTTAATTTTAGTCAACCTGTGCCTAAAATTCACTGAAGGTGTTCGCCTATAGAATGCATAAGAAATTGTAAGGAGGACACTTTGGGTCGTTTTCAAATACAAGGAGCTGTACACATCTAACACTAATGTCTTGTAAGTGTGTTAGAGGTAACAAGATGTGTGCAGTTTACCAAACATACTGGACCAAGTTCTGCTTTGTTAGTAAAGGGTGTAGAACCATTAATATGTAATGTGCTCATTCCTGCAGGATGCTCAGGAGTCTGGTTCCAATCCAGAAGAGTTCTGAAGTATTTTACTGGATCAAACGTGAACTTCAGCTGTTGGAAGAACAAACGGCACACAGTTGCCTCATTAAAGTTATTCTGACCAATATATTTCTCTTAAATTTAAATGTCTCTAATGCTCTTTCCAGATAGAAAGATGATCCTTGAGGTCCCTTGCAACCTGGTATTTTATGAGTCTAAAGCTAACAGGCTGCCCTTAATAATGTTTTTGATAGTCTCAAATATAATTTGAACTTGTGTCACACAGAGAACTCTATTGAGAAAGCCTGTTCTGTCTAATAGGCACTCTATACCACATGTTGGACGCCCAAGGCTGCTCCTTGCCTGCTGAACTGGCTTGATCATATGGAGACACAATATCTTCCTTTAGAATTAAATTAATGTAGCTCTTTAGAATCAAATCTGAATTTTGGAAATAGAAAGGCCAGTCCAAGATCAGTGTTATCAGGCTTCCTGTTTTCTAACTGCTTTTCAGTAGCTACAGACAAGTTGAAAAGCTGATATTTTTTTCCTAATTTTTGGCTTCGTTAGGTGCTTTCTGTTTTGTACAAGTGTTGACTAAGGCTTGCGCAATTAGAGGCATCAGCGAATTCCCATACAGAAGTCTTGAGATAATGGGGCGTGGCATCCTTTATTCTTTTGGGCATCTTCATTCCCTTTGACTGATAGGTTGGCAAGAGCTGATTGTTATACAATTTTTGACAAGGAAAATTTAACTAAATAACAGTATTGCTCAACACTTTTCAGGAAAAAGCAGCATTTTCTTGATAGATTTTTTTATTTTCTGGTGAATAGACTACAGTGTTTCAGTGGAGGATGAATACCAAGGTAGTCCAACATATTTATTCTGAGCCTGAGTCTTTTATAGCAATTATGGAATTACAAAGAGTAGCTGCATTGTCTGTGCCAGTATGTGTTCCGTAGTACAATTCTATCTGAGATATCACTAATGAATTTTGGTGGTTTTGTTTTTGGTTTTGGTTTTGGTTTTTTTCAGATTAGTAATTTCTGTAGGATATTGAAGAGTGCTATGATTGGTTGATTGATCAGTTGATCTGTTTCTAGACTAGTGCTCAGTTTGGTCATGAGTGTTGTGTTTTCCATTGCTCTCTTCTGGCCGCTCAGTTTTCCTGAGCTGGTTCTTGTGCTCAGTGTTACCAGGACATTGGACTTGAACCTACTTGAACCTGTCACTGGTGCAAGAGATCTCATTAATTTCAAGAAGTGGGAGGTGCTTACAACTACAAATACAGTTCAAAACATTGTGGGTTTTTTTTCAGACACACTACTTTTAACTGTGAAAGGTAGAAACCACTCCACATCCGTCAGAATTCTGCAGTTTTGGGGCCTTTGCACAGGCACAAAGTTTCATAGTAAGACTCAAACTCCCTAGACCCAGGCCTTCCATGTTGCACAAGACAACACAGCCTTTATAGTCCTTTAAAACTATTCTTCACTGATACAGAATCACAGAATGACTGAATGGTTGAGGCTGATAGGGACCTCTGGAGGTCATCTGGTCAAATCGTCCTGTTCAGTTAGGGCCACCTGTAAGCCAGTTGCCCAGGACCATGTCCAGACGTCTGTTGAATATCAGCTGTGGTAGGAAGCTTTTTCTAATCCAACATGGGCAAAATGATTTTTTTATAGAAATATGTCACAGTTATGAAGAAAACAAAGAACTTTGTTTTGCTCTTGGGCAGTTCAGTCAGTGGAGCCATTCTAGATAGTCAGTTAACTAGTGATTCTTGCAATTTTATTAAAAAGTAAGACACAACAAAAAAACCTCTGTAGAAAACCTCTAATATTCTTCATGTCTGATCTTCAACCAGTTATTTAACTTCTTCGGCTGGTTTTGGCTAAGTGTACAATGTGCTGCTTTTCTATCACAGGGTGATGGAAAGGAAGTCTTTATTTATTTTGTACTGGTTGGCTCACATATAACTGTGGAAATGGCATTAGAATTTCAAGTTTGTTTGCCTAATATGAGCTGCCTTAAATCAGCTGTATTATATCAACTGTCTTGACCATTCCCTGTAAATGCAAAATAAACCCAAAAGGCTACAGTTGGATTCTTAGCACTCATACATATTCCCAAATGCAACTTTCCAGATGATGAGAAGTATAGCTAAAAATCTTGCATGTTTCACTGGTGTAG